AGATGTGTATAAGAGAATAGTACTCTATATTTTATGTATTTTATAAAATATATATTGTGATACTTACTTGAATACTCGCATAATACGCTGTTAAAAATTGCTTCCTCTGCGCATGGTTGAGGTTTAATGTAGCCTGCATTATCATCTAACAATCCATCTTTAACAACAATATGCGAACATGTTTTATTCATCTTTGCCATCGGTAGTGAATCAACGTGCACCAGTAATTTTCGGTAAACTGGTACAAAACTTTCAACCCTGGTTACATCCAGAATAAACTCATTAAACGTTATATATTCTCGGTTGCTATTAATGACCGCTAAGGATCCGCCAGACTCGATGCAACGTTTTTCCATCTCGAAGCATGATGACGTAAGCGTATTGGGATTTACTACGTACTTGTAACAGGATCTTGATTTAGCAACGTTTGCTGGAATCGAATCAAATATATTAAATATTTTTGTTTATTACTTTTGGTTATTCTCGGTATTGTATCAATCTATAAATTATGAACAGAAAGCATAATACATAAATAAATATAATGCAGTTTAATAATTGGGAGATTAAAAAGACAAGGAAACAGAACAGCTTCGTTTAGTCAGCTAAACTGGTGGTAGCCAGGTCTGGTCCCCGGTTCAATTCCCATCGCTTCTCTTCTTGTGTTTCAGCTGGATGACTGAAATCGCGCATCGTCTTCCGGATGAGACATTTAAGATGTTGGTTCTTCAGTGTGCCCTTATGGTCCATGTCAGTGTCGGATCCAGAGATATCCAAAAAGGGGGCGGGGGGTCGAAAGTTGGGCCGACGAGACAACACCATCCTTGTGGGTCCGGGGGCATGCCCCCTCGAAATTGTGTTCTATACGCCCGAATAACATTTGAGGCGTTCTATTATTTTTTCTATTTCTTTCTTTTTTTTTTACCTCCCAAAAGGGGGAGGGGTCGGGGCCGGGGCGGATTTAGGAGGTGGGGCATGTGCACGTTAAAGAACGCAGGAAAAACGGAAAAAGAGATTGTCTCTCGGGGTACTGCCCAATCACTTTTCGTTGGTTATACTTGGTGTTTAACAAATAATACATTTTTCCATTTCAAGAGACACTTATTTTCTTCCATAAAGGAAACACATAAATATACAATACAAATGATTTAAGATAATAACGTAAATAATCTATGGCAGTAGGCATGATCCTGAGAAGATCTTGTGGCTGGCATACCTTATTGGAAATAAAGTCGATATAAACATGAAGAAAATTAATAAAATAATTAATGAAAAAACAAATAAACAAATAAGTGAAAAGCCCAATAAATTAACCCATACATCCAACTACATTCTCTGGGTTGATGGAGAAGCGAGAAATAAGAAATGTAAACAGATAACTCCAAAAAACAAATAAATAAATTAGGCCTACGTCAATTGAGAATGAAAATGTAAATAGGGCCTATATTTATTGATAATTTAAAAATATTTAACATAATATATCTTCCATAGGCCCTGTGGTGAGTATTATGAAACACTCTCGATTCACAGACATTCCCAAATTCAAGTTACACTTCATCAGGTATTAAATATTGGAACGCTGACTATTGAAAACATATTTAGTGGTAGGTAGAACTTTTAATATGATGACAGCATATATATTTCTTGCAATGTTTGTAATTATTAAAGACGAGTATTTTACGTTTTTGAGTTGTTGAGTCTGTCAAAGATATCGGTAATTCAATTTCCTTCGTTGAAGTAATAATGAGGACATATTTTTTTAATTGAAGAGACATTTCCAAGAAGTATTAATTATGTTTACTAAAAATGTCATATCTATCTTTGTTTCCATGGAAGGATTCTATTTTTAAATCATTTGTAAATGTGTATCTGAAAGCTCTCTGCAAGAGATATATTTATACGTGGGCAGAGATGGGGTGCTTTATTTTTACAGGCAATTTGTAATTTGTATTAAAAATGTCTAAATCTGTTTTCTAGATCTTTAGCCAGAGTCACAGAAAGTTTGGTCTGCCGTAAATTCGCCCCATCTTCAAACTGTGGCGAAACGAAAACGTCTAAGGCTTCTTCGCACTCTACTGCCCCGATGGTCACAAAGGTTCGTGCTACGGGTGTATTTTAATGGTTTCTTTACGTGTTCGTTAATTGGCAAGCACCACTGTGCCTATCTGAGCCCTGGCTTTTGAAAAGCTCGTAGGTGATAGGCCTACGCCACTGCAAATACACGATGAATTAATTAGAGATATCGTAACTCCTTAATTGTTTGGGAAATTTGGTCTGAACAGCGCCAAATCCACTAAGTACAGAGAGCAGGCCAATTCACTGGGGATTGGTTGGGGTGGGGGTGATTTCTATGTGTATTGAGTTTCATCGCTACACACAACACATATCGTGGAAGTTGATCCAGTTCCAACTTGGTATTAATTAGAATAATAGTAGCCTAAAATCTAAGTGCGCTCTCTCGGAAACGTTGTGCCAAGCAGTACCAGTCCTTACTAGCAGGGAAAAAGTACAGTTTCCACCTCTAGTAGGGGTGGGAAGGGAGTGGAGGAATCTCTGTAACATCCGGTTTCCATGAAGTCAGGATATTCGACACAACCGAAGGCTCCACCGATTTGTCCCCAGCATATCGGGGTAGTTTCAACTTTTCCTATACGTGTTCCCCTAAATCGGAATGGTGCCGGAAGTGGGAACTCTGTATCACCGGTTCTATAGAATCGCTAGATCCCCAGATTGTTCTGGGAGCTTGAGAACATGCGCTTGTATTCTTGGCACGCCTATGCAATAATACTGTCGTTCTGATCGGTCAGTTGCTTGAATTATGACATAACTCGTGGGAGGGAGGGAGTGTCAGAAGTCTCCTAATACATTCTTTTAGGCTAAAATTTTCCGAAATGAAAATTTGACAATATAGGTCTAAATCCCGCTTTTATTGATCAAGTTCATACTGTAGATAAGTACGAAGACTATTTAACAAAACGATTAAAACAACTGGATTCAATTTTCCTTGGGAATCAACTAATTTATGAATTAAGGTCTAAATAAGCGACTGCTTTCTGGAGATATTAGGAATTTTGCGGATTGTAGCCAGAATAGCAGACGTGAATCATGGCGATAAGTGGTTCGGGCGTCAGTTTACTGTAATGTGCTCGTAATCCTCAGTACCCGATGCTTGGCGTAAACATTGCTCCATCCCTAATGAGAGCAATATCCTGAGTAATGAAAGGAAGCACGCGGTTTAACTTAGTCCACAATAAGTATATAGGCCTACCATAAGAATTGTGTTGGAGAGATTGGACTTGGCTTTACTGAGGCTGGTCGGTATTTTCGCTTTCTTACCGAAAGGTTAACACTACTTAGTATTTTAACACGGATTTCTATTTTAAGAGGAATGTTTAATTCTCTCAACATATAGGCTAGGTAGACTCATGGGATAAAAATACTATAAATAGAATAGAATATAGGCCTAGCCACATATACTATATATAGGGTCTGGCGTCTGACAAGTACTTAAATTATGTTTAGCGAGATAGATTAGAGCAATGTACGATTTTGTTGTTTCGAAAAAACCCTAAATTTTAGTAGGCATAGATTTTTAAAAAGCACCCATTCTAACGTAAAACTCAGCAATAACTGTTTTAATAACTGTTGTCATTTTTTAAATTGAGTTTTAAAGAATTAATCAACTTGACACTACCATTCTTGAACTTAAGATGACTCAAACTGAAATGACGCCGCGAAGAACATTGAAATGTTATTTCCTTTACAACATTCGCTCACGACATCACAATGAAGATGAGTTGAGGTTTCAATGTTGGACATTTGATTATCTTGTCTAAAATTAATAATTAAGATCACTACGGGTCAGTTAGGCCAAGTACGATAGGACATTACTAGGCCTACTCAATTATAACAATATTAAAATAACAATTATAACGACAATATCAAATACATTACGGTACTATTAATGACAATAAATATTTATTAGTAATAATAGCAATAAAATAAAAATTTAAATAAAAAAAAAACAAAAGTAGAGAAAGTGATGCCATATTTACTCAACGTTTCGATTTATCGGGAATGATGAACATTTAAGTCATTCTGATGACTTAAATGTTCATTATTTCTGATAATGACTTAATAAAGTCGAAACGTTGTGTAAATATGGCCTCACTTTCTCTATTTGGAGTCACTTTTGTTTTATTTTATTTGAACAATAAAATATTAATAATATTAATATGATAATAATTGCATTAAAATAATAATTTTATTAATAGTAATAATGATAATAATATGCCTAATACAGTAATATTAATAATATTATTACCTATTATTAATTATTAATAAGTGTTCAACTTTTAGGGCATTACACATTGTTAGTGAAACCAAAGACGGTATTTAGACTGTCTATGTCGGGGTCGGACATAACTCCCGCTTGCCTCCCATATTGTCCACTGACATTAAACCTCTAATTTCCCAGAATTCCCAACTGCCAATGTCGGAAACTATTTATAATAACATTTTATGCGAATGTGAAAGTAGAATATTACAAGGAAACTGTTGTCAATATTAAATTATGCTTTTTAAATTAATGTAGGCCTATGTGTGATGTGAACAGGTTTTATGCCAAGTTGGGTTAAACCGCACCGATATCAGTATTTTGTTTGTGCTTCTCGGCATTATTCGGTGTTCGGGTGATGTATTGTCACCAATCTAAAGAAATGCCCATAGGCCTATTTCTATCAATCATCGTTGTTATTGTTGTCATCATTCATACCGTCACAACCAACACCATTGCCACCACCACTATCAACATCATCACTATCATTACCCCGCATTATCGTCACTATCATCACTCCCACATCATCATCATCATCATCATCATCATCATCACCATCATCATCATCATCTTCTTCTTCATTATCATCATTATCACCGTCATCTTCACCATTATGACTACTATAACCATCATCGCTATCATCACCACCATGATAATTACCATTACCATCATCATAATCACTTTCATAATTATCATCATCATTATTACCAGCATCATCATCATTATCATCATCACCACCACTATCACCGCCAGCATCATCATCATTTCCACCGGATGGCATTAGCATCATTATTCATTCGTAATTGTTTTTTGTTTCATTATTAATGCTAACGTTGTTGTTTTGTAATTATTATATTTGATTGCGACTACACATTGTTTGACATCGTTCCAACTCGCCTACACGATGAATGTCATTGGCAGATGTTGCTACCCAATACCAGATGAATAACCTCGAAAAATGACATCGCGATAAATCCAAATTAGAGGAAGTACGGTACGTGAGTTATTGAATTGCTGTAAATTTTATCATTAAGAATTCAATGGATAAATTGCAGACCTCCGAAATATATATCACGTGAAGAGATCAACTCTAAATATAAATTTTAAACGGTAAAGTAGAGGAATCTGCGATTGCGAAAAACTATTAAATTATGTTTTTAAAAATTAATATAGGCCTGCGATGTGAACAGCTTTTTAGGCCAAGTTGAGTTAAACTGCACTGGGTTCGCGACTACTGCACTCGCAGACTTCTCTTCTTATGCGGTTTAATATATATATATATATATGTATATATATAATATATATATAATATATATATACATACATATATATATATATATATA